CTACAAAGGTTTAATTCTACGCTACAAGAGATAATTCTTTATTTATGTTTTAATTTATGCATGTATGGTTAGTTGATTCAACGATATGATTTTAGGCCCTTTAGATGGAGGAATTTTTTTTATTTTATTTCACACCTTTATAGGATGCATGATCCTCTAGGATTACCCCTCACATTGAGGGGTATAATGCACAATCATAAATGGTCGGTAAAACTCTCAAAAATTTCTAGAAAAACAAAAGTCTATCAATGATTCCAAAAAAAAAAAAAAAGGAATGTGCAAGTAAAATACCAAAATGAAGAAGAAAAGAAACACAATAAGAAAGCATCCTTAATGCAAATTATAATTCAAGAGAGGAATCAAAATTCGAGTGAAACAAACGATGAGTTGGGAATAGAAAAAAAAAAGTCACAATCAAAATGACAAAGTGATTGTGGAAAGCCTAAAAGGAAAAATTTTTCTCATGAACATTAAGATGAAACCACGAGTCTAACTAATGGCTAAAGTGACAAAATCCATACGACATTAAATAAAGAGATTTCTATGGTCAATAAAGCGATCCTATGTCATAAGATCCTTAAATACTTTTTGAGCCTTTATGCATCTATTTTTTTCATAAGCTCAAACTATAGCCTACATTATGTGTTTTTACAAACCTTTTTTAATCAAAGGTAGTTTGCTCGTGTTGATAAATTTTAATCTCAAAAGAAAATGAAGAATGATAACAAAAAGAAAAAAATATCTAATTGGTGTGGTGTTTGTTGCTCTTTATGACATCAAATTATTAGTATTCAACTAACTTGAGGGCAAGAAAAAAAAGAATCAAGACATTCTCAAGTAAGATTATCCTTTAGAATCAATTTTTTTCAAAACACGCTTTGCTCAATCCTTTCCATTCCCCAAAATTGACTTATGATTTGACCAATCATCTTCAATTACAAGAAAAAAAAATCGTTTTTTATACAAGCCTTGTATAAATTGATGAGACTCCCAAGCTTTAGGGTTTGATGTTAATTTTAAATTATGTAACGGAAAAAACAAAAAAAAATAATTTTGATAATATTTTTCTCGTATATCTCAAATTAAATATAAAAAGAGCAAAACAAGAAATAAAGAGTTTTAAGCAATTTTAACGAGCCTCAATTCCAATAAGGACTGATGTTAATTCTAAATCAATCACATTTTAGTAATTAGGTTATTTTTTGACATACCGGTTATGTCAAGACTTAAACTAGATCCGATTTTGAATTGACAAGACTCTCGATGGCGGGGTCCGATAATCAATTCTATATGATGCCATAAAAAAATTAAAAAAATAAATTTGGATTAGGAAATTAAAATTGAAATTTTTACTTAGGATTAATTATAGAAAAAATATAAATTTTTAAAAGATAAACTCTTAGAATTAAATCGGACGTGGTACTTTTTTTTAAAAAAAATGGTGTTTTTGGGTGATTGTATCTTTCTAAACACATAACCAACTCATTGTCCTAGAATCTCAAAACCACTATTAATTTTAGGTTCCTAAATCCCTTAATACTAGGTGACAAGTTCAGAAATTTAGTTTAACTCATATCTCTAAACAAACAAATTTTTACTTATCATTTTTGGAAGTCTTACGAACATCGGGTAACGACATGCAAATAATTATGAGACACGAGTTTAATCTTTACACTATCCTTGATGATTTGAGCTTTTTTATTTTTTATTTTTTTGCAAACCTAATTAATTAATTTTTTAATTAAATTAATTATGATTGCATAGGTAATTATCTAAGAAACTCATTAGTTAATTGTCTATTACGATTTATAGCAAAGTTTTTTAATCCATAGTTGTTAAAAAAAAGTTAGTACAAGTAGCATATTAGATTTTTATGATTATGATCCTAGTTTTTGTAACTACCAAACGAAAATAAAAGGATAAATTGAATGATTTAAGCATCCTAAAATTATAGTTTAGTCTTAGTTATCTTCCTAATTTGTAATGCTATTGTTGATTTGATTAGAATTGCTTCAATACCAAAATCAATTGAAAATAAGAATTTAATTTAACTATTAAGTTTTGAGTTAATAAATATAGGGAAGATTTGAATTTATTCTAGTGTCTAAGTAAATCTAGGCTAAGTATTCGATGAAAGAATAGTAATTTAGATATAATGATCAATTTGTAAATTAAACGTTCGAATTTCTTCTTGAACTAAAATTTCCCTAAATTGAAGGTTTTTTTTAATTTAATTTTAGCATAAACTTAAAACCCCCTAGTTTTCAAAGATATCAAAATAGATTGACCAATCTCTAGGGTTTTACTTGGACTTGCCTTTACTATAGATTTTTGTAAGAACAAAATAAATTAAATTTTGTGCATTCGACATGCATCGAAAGTACCATTGAAAGTTGGTTTATCGGACCTAATAATGAGGTAATCTAGTATTCAAGGTAATGTGTGTGTGAGTGCGCGCACAAACGTGCATTTAAAAGAGGATTCAAAGCAAGATATAAGCCTATTCTTGGCATGGATGACTCGTTTTCTAAAAAGAAAGGATTCACAAAGTGTCCTCATGAATATGGCCTTTATGTTAAGGTAAAGGAAAATAGAAATATGTTGATTGTATGTTTAGACGTTGATGATCCGATCTTTACATGAAATATTTCATTGATGATTGAAGAATTTAAAAAGGATATGGCTAAAGAATTTGATATGACCGATATCGAGCTTATGTCATACTATCTTGGGATTGAAGTGAAGCAATATGATGAAGGTATTTTTGTTTCTCAAAAGAGTTATACGGAAAAAATTATGAAAGAGTTCACTATGGAAAATTATCAATCCGTAGCTACGCCTCGTTGAATGTGGCACCAAGTTGACAAGATACGATAACGGTGAAAAGGTAAATCCAACTTTGTTTAGAAAGCTTGTTGGAAGTTTGAGATTTTTGACATGTACCGGGCCAAATATTCCGTATGGTATTGGGATCATCGGTCGTTATATAGAGACACTAACTTCTTTGCATATGAAAGTTGCTAAAAGAATTTTACGATATATGAAGGGAACAATAGAGTATGGTTTGTTTTATTCTGTTTCTAATAATTTTAGCTTGGTTGGATATAGTGACGAGTGATTGGGGAGGAGATATGGATGATCAAAAAAGCACAACGGGTTTTCTATTTTGTGTTGGTGAAACTGCATTCACTTGGAGTTCAAAAAACAATCAATTGTGACCCTCTCAACTTGTGAATCCGAATATGTAGCTACTCGTCGCATGTGTTTGTCATGCTATTTGGCTAAGGAAGTTACTGGAAATATTAGATATGTCACAAGAAGAAGCTATTGAAATTTTTATTGATAATAAATCAGCAATAACATTGAGCGGGAATCCTATTTTTCATGATAGGAGCAAGCATATTGACACCGGGTTTCATTTTATCGGAGAAAGCATCGGCAGAAAGGAAGTGCGGCTTACATATGTGAAGCCTCAAGACCAAGTTGCTGATATTTTCACCAAGGCATTGAAGTTTGAAGATTTTTCCAGATTAAGAGCATGGCTTGGTGTAACTAAAATTCATGTTTAAGGAGGAGTGTTGGAAAAATAAACTTGATTTTAGAGTTTTATTTAAGAAGTCTTTTAGTATTTTGTGAAACTTTATGAGAAGTTTACGTTCAATGTATTGTGGTATTTTCAAAAGTCAAGTTGCTATTATATATATATATATACATATATATATATATATATATATATATATATATATATATATATATATATATATATATATATATATATATATATATATCTTTGTAAGTCTTTATGATATGAATAAGAAGAGGGTGAGCGGAATTTCGGATTATCAAAGCCTCTTCCAACAACCGAAGCGGCCATGTATTTGCCATTAGGTGACCAAGACAAATAACATACGAGTGCGCGCATGGTCACCTCTCAATGTAAACAGTTTCTCTCTTGTGTCTTTATCATACATCACCACATCATTTCTTAAACCGGGGACGACCAATGGCTCCCCATCCGGACTCTACCTAACTAACTATACTCATGATAGAAGTGTCCGATACAGACATTAGGAGCAACAACTTTTAGTGTTTATAAGATCATATCGGATTGTAGTTTCGAAAATAAAATAGTCCCAATAGAATCTACCGATGGAAAGCACTCATTTATAGGGTCAAAAGCTAAGCCAATGACGAGTCCTTTATGTCCTTTCAAAACCCTAGCAATCGAACCATTGATTGTATTAATAAGTTTAATTCTTTCATCATCACCAACAGTTGCTAGCATGCTCCTCAATTTATTAAATGCAATAGCATGAATCGACAACATGAATCATGCTTAACATTGGAGAAGAAGGCATGCAAGAGCATGAATTGGTAACGTGAATCATGCTTAACATTGGAGAAGAAGGAAAATTAATTACAATAAGGAAAAAGTGACGTGAATGAAAATATCTTACGTGGTAATTTATCTAGTTTGAGAATTAAGTTTAAAATTACCTTATTTAAAGAATAAAGATTTAATAATATCCTAATTTGGTAAAAAAAATCTCACCAAATAAGGGTCCAGCAATAGGTTAGTTATGTAATCGATTTCCAAAAACAAGATAGGATAAGAGCGAGTTGGAGTAGTACAGAGCTTATGAAGAAAATTGATTAAGGATTATTTTAATGTCTTAGACACATATTAATGATGTCAATGGGAGGGTTACTGCTATCAACCAAACATAGGTCTAGAAGGTTAGGATAAAGGCCATTGATATGAATAAGTTGCAAGTTTAGGAGGATATTAATTCGGACCGGAGTAAAGTTGAGGAAATTTCTATGGCCAATCGGTTCCTAACACTTGACATGTTGCTAGAAGACGAAGCTACTTAGGTGGATATGGCTAGCTAGGAGATGGAGGGGTTTTAAAATCAAAGGATAATGTGCATTGTAAGAGAGATATCGCCCCTTCTAAATTGATGAACAAGAACTCCTTAAATAAGCTTAAAGATACAACCATGGATGAGGCAAAGTCACTACATAAGAATTTTACAAAATTAGTCGGGAAAGTTAGAACTCGTAATTCGACTTTCAAGAGATATACTAGATCGATTTGTTAGAGCATAATGTGTCATAGCTCTAGAAAAACAATAATGTTAATCATTATATAGAATACATGCGGGGTAGGTAACAAAGCCATTATAGACTACATAAAAATGTTTAAATCTCAACATAAACCTATAATTCTTAAAATTTTAAAGCCTAAACTAGTTGGAGACAAATTGATCGAGTTACTAGAAAACTAAAGTTAATCCGATCAACATGCATATTTAGATTTTTTGGGATGATTATGTGGATCTTCGGTGTAAGTCGGTGAGCAAACAATAAATTACGACCAGTGCCTAAATGGTTTGATTGGTTGAGTGTGTATTTCTCGTTCATTTACGCTAAATGCAATAGAGTAGAGAGGTAGGAATTATGGAATGATCAGCAAGGTATTTCGACTCATACTAATGACCCTTGGCTATTAGATGGGGATTTTAATGTGATTTTAAAGGCTTCTAAAAAGATTGGTGGCACAACGATTGATTATCATAGTATGAGGGAGTTTATTGATTATTGCCGTCGGATTGGGGTTGATGATATAGGTTATATGGGAAGTAAATTCACTGGGTGTAACAATTAATCGAAGGTCTTGAATTTAGTAAAGGTTGGATAGGGTGCTTACGGATGGTCATTTTGAGGCTATCCCGATGTCGTTCGGTGTGGAACATTTTGTAAGAACCAACTCTAATCACACACCTCTTTTGTTAAGATTTGCTATTCGGAATTAGGGTAAGTCGGTTTTCAAATTTCAAAAAAATATGGTTAGATCGTGTAGATTTCATTAGCTTTGTTCATTTGCGGTTTGGGTTACCATATGTTAGGGCCCTCTACTTGCAATTCTTCATCAAAAACTAAAACGGTTGGAGCATCGATTGATTTCGATTTTTGATTAAGATTATAGTGGTAATGTTACGGTTGAGTTTTTCATTGACTTTTTTAAGTTGGGCTCTGTGTCTTTACGAGAGTCTCTGTTCTCTCATATGGAGAAAAAGTTTTTTGATGTTGAGAATTCAGCTCTTACTTGTATGCCTACAAAAGATGAGGTTTGGGAGGGGGTTGTGAGGGACCTCGGCTCTAAAAGTTCTCTATGTTGGGATGGTTTCGGGGGATATGTTTTTCTAAGGATGTCGGGATTTCATTAAGTTAGCGGTAGTGCTTCTATTTCTTAAAAAGAGGCCGAGTTCTTGAAAGGTATTTAGGCAACTACACTCACTAGAAGAAAACGGAGGAATAATAACTGTTTATTAACAACGAGTTTAGAAAACCATCGTTAAAAACCAAAAATTAGAGACGATCCGAGTAAATCGTAGCTAATTTCATTATAAGTGTCGATTTTAATGATGGTTTTCAAAACCAGCGTTAATAACTCATAAATTCAAAAAAAAATCATAAATTTGACCTAAGTTATGGGTTTTTAGCAATCGTTTTTGTGAAACCATCACTAAAAAACACTTTTTGGGGAATTTAGCGACGATTTAAGGAGATCGTCGATAAATTCTCCTAAAATGTTGGATTGTTAGCCACGGTTTGACGAAATCGTCGCTAAAAAACTAATTTGAGGGAATTTAGCGATGGTCTACTTAAACCTTTATAGATTTCACCCATTTTTAGGGAATCGAGACGAGTCTTCCCAAATTTAGGGGTTTTTAGTGACGATTTTTATGAAACCATTGACACAAAACCATTTTTAGATGAATCTAGTGACGGTTTAAAGAGACCGTCACTAAATTCCTCTAAAAATTTGATGGGTTTTAGTGCGGGTTTGGCAAAAATAGTTGCTAAACCCCCTTCCTCCTCCCCCCACCCCTAAATAAAAGGTTTTTTAGTGATGGTTTTTGAAAACCATGGCTAAAAGTTTTTCTTGGAGGGAAAACCTATTTTTTAAAAAAAAAAAAAAAAGAGGAATTTACTTTTAGCGAGGGTTTAATGATAAAATGCAAACCGTCACTAAACACAAAATCTCTAAATTGGATTCTGCCATTTTTTCCATCATTTTTTCTTCTTTTCTTCTCTCTTCTACTCCTTGGCCAATGCCACCACCCCTAAAAATCCTCCATAAATGCCATGAGCTCCTCCAAACTCCCATTCTCTCTTCTTTTCTTCTTCTTCCCTTCCCCCCTAGTTCTTTTGTTCCCTCATTTTCTTCTTCTTTCTCTCATTTTCTCCTCCTCCACCCTTCCCTCCTCTTCTCCATGGATCCACTAGTGTTGGCAGCAGCTCCTCCCTTCTTTCCTCCTTCATTTGCGGGCTTTCCAACTCACCTAAGGTGAGTTATTGGTTTTTTTTTTTTTGTTTCTAAAATTTATATAAATTATTGTTTTATTATTTTTTTATTAATTGTTAGTTAGTTTAACTTAGTTTCTTGTTAGGGTTAATTTATTAGTTGTTAAAAAATTATATTAGATGCTAAGGTAATTTATTTAAGTGAAAAATAATTTAATTAGGTGTTAATTATGTTGTTTAGATGTTAGTCATGATATTTAGGTGTTAAAATAAGTTCATTAGGTCTTAATTAAATTAATTGATTGTTAAAAAATAATTAATTAGATGTTAAGTTTAATTATTTAGCTATAAAATAATTTTATTAGGTGTTAACATATTTAATTAGGTGTTAATTTAATTAATTTATATTAATTACATTTTTTAGATACTAAAATAAGTCAATTGGGTGTTAATTAGATTAATTACTTTTTAAAAAAATGTAATTAGGTGTTAAGTTTATCTAAGTGTAAAATAATTTTATTAGGTGTTAGATAAGTTAATTAGGTGTTGAAATATTTAATTAGGTGCTAGTTTAATTAATTTGATTTTAATTATGCTATTTAGGTGTTAAAATAAGTTAATTAGATATTAATTAAATTAATTAATTATTAAAAAAATTAATTAGATGTTAAGCTTATTTATTTAGGTGTAAAATAATTTTATTATGTGTTCAAATATTTAATTAGGTGTTAGTTTAATTAATTTGGTGTCAATTATGCTATTTAGGTGTTAAAATAAGTTAATTATGTGTTAATTAAATTAATTAATTGTTAAAAATTTAATTAGGTGTTAATTTTACTTATTTAGGTGTAAAATTATTTATTAGATGTTAAATAAGATAACTAGGTGTTAAAAAAATTAAATGGGTGTTAGTTTAATTAATTTGGTGTTAATTATGTTACTTAAGTTTTGAAATAAGTTAATTAGGTGTCAATTAAATAAATTAATTGCCAAAAAAAATTAATTAGGTATTAAGTTTATTTATTTAGGTGTAAAATAATTTGATTAGGTGTTACAATATCTAATTAGGTGTTAGTTTAATTAATTTGGAGTTAATTATGTAATTTTGGTGTTAAAAATATTTATTTATGTGGTAAAACAATTTATAGTCCCTACTTGTATAAAATCATTTGTTATATCATTTTCCATTAAGTTTCTTATTGAAGTAATTATGTAATTATACTTGAAATGTGAAAAAATTTGTTTTTGGTCACCAATGTTAGGGTGAAACCATAGAGATATGACATTCGTTGGAGAAATAATTGAAAATGTATAAGGTCGGTGTCAATGCTTAGCGATGGAGATGGGAGGACAAAAATAATTAATTTGGTGTTAACTATATTACTTGTTAATTGGAAAATATCCAATTTATATGGAAAACTCTATCAAAATTTTGTTAGAATTTTAATTAGTTGTAACAAACATTTGTATGATGTCCAATGCATATTTTTTAAATACTAATAACTAGTTATTCTATTTTTTTCTTGAATAAATAGAAAAAACTAACATAACAAGATAAATGTCATTTAGCGACGGGCGAGACCCGTCGCTAAATCAAAAAACCGTCGTTAAATCGTTTTAGCGAGTAATTAGCGACGGTCAAGTAACCGTCACTAAAAACCTCATCGGTATTTTTTAGCGACGGTTTGGACCATTGTAAAATTAGCGACGGTCCAAACGTTGCTATTCCGTCGCTAAATGTCGATGTAAATAGTTATGAAATTAGCGACAGTCTTGTAAACCCTTGGTATGCCCATTGCTAAATAGAGATGAATTAGCGACGGTCTGGACCATTGCTAAAGTATTGGCAACGGTCTAATATTATATTTTTAACGACGGTCTAGACCGTTTCTAAGACCGTCGCTAATTTATAAAATACATTTTTTTGCAGCTATAATAAAATGAGGTAAAAGTAACAATTTTGTTCTTTAACATTAATCAACTAAGTACTTGCTTTAGTATCGGCATATCAATAGGTATGAGATCTTCTACTCGTTATCTTATAGCATGAGCATAGCATTTATAAGTCTAGCCGCATATAGTCAATGTTCATTCTTGATAATGTTATGACATAAGACTTTTAATGATATCATTTAAGTGCATTAATGTTTGTCTCACACTTTTGATCAATCATTAATGCAATAAATATCATATGGACTTCTATCTAATGATATTCAATAAATATAAATATAAGAATTAATAGAAAAAAATTTTATTAATAAAATAAAGAATGTAATATTATAATTAGTCAAACCTATTCAAACAAGGTTGGATCCGGAGCACCTACACTAATAGGTCCTTCGTTAGCCATTTTGTTAGCCTATTTGATTAAAGTAATCCCCACATATCGAACCATGAGGTTGATACTCTTGAAAATGATTTTGCATCTTGGTTTCATCGATATATAAGTATCATCAATTTTGATTTCATTTGTCACTAATATGTAATGATGAAATGCTATACCTATAGTAAGGAATGGATTTTGACTTTACGGGTAAGTAATGCACAACTCAACTCAAGCATTGACCAATACATTAAAGATCTCGTAAAAGGGCCCTTATGAACGGAAAAGTTATATCCAAGATACATTATGAATAGGTATAAGTTTCACACCAAAGGCCATGATTTTAGATAAAGCAATAATGTGTAGCAGAGTGTGCATAAAAGAAGTTAATTATAAGGTTTAGGAAAATGACTACAATAATGGTTGATCGATATACTAAAACTTGAGCATCCTACGAGTACTAATCAAAAGAATCATATTGTTCAAATATGATTGATATGATTCCTTACTTAGCATTGGTATAAGGATTCATGATTAGCATAGACTAGTAGAAATACATAGTCGTAAAAGGTCAAACGAGATCCAATCTTTTTATCCTAGCAATACAAACGCATTAGGTTTATTATGTCACATATCCTACCTCAAAGTGTAACAAGCATGATTTGTTAGCTATATATAAGGTAAAATCAAGATCGACAATGGATGTGTTAGAATTTTCTATCATGGTCTAAAAAAATATAGAAACATTTTGACCCAACTTGGATCATTAATAGATTTTGAAAAGGATGAAATTAATGATAAGGATGATGTTAAATTTAAAATAGAGGTAAAGGAAGACTTCAATGAAAATTATAATAATGATGATCAAGATAGTAATTATGTTTTAATTTAATTATGAAAGTAGTTGTTAATTATATATTAAATTTATTTTAACTTATTTATGATAATAGAGATGTTTTTTAGCTATTGTATTTGATTAACTATAAAATGTGATAATGTGTAGGTTATGTCTTATGGTAGGGGACATTTCCAACATATAGTCGGCCGGATCGGATGATTAGGGTCATGGTATAGACATTGATGGTGGCGAGTGGCCATGGATATGGGCATAGTTCTACTTTCGTTCCAAGTCATATAGTTGCTCCCCTTGATATTTATACATTCCCTCCCATAGCCTAATGTCAAACCATCATCATTTGGCATGTCTCGACCCGAGCCTTATCAATTTAGACCACATACCAACACTTTTATACCTTATTGTTATTAAGGCCAACACCCTAACAGGGTGATCTTCAAGTACTTACATACAACCTATTGCTAGTCGTCCCTTTTGGTATATCTTCTACACCTATCGATTCTACGTACAATCCTTACATTCCGATTACTATCATTGATGGCAAGGATTATGTATTATACGTATTTTTTATTATATATTTTTTTGATGTATTATTATATTAATACATTCATTTAATCATTAGTTGTCTTGTTTAACATATTATATCCAATCGATGTGTGCTCTCATTGGATCTCTAAGAGATTTCAAGAGTAGGTTGACCTATCCGGAATGATGTGAAAGTCGGTTATGGAGGAAACTAA